GCAGGAAACAAACACGTGGCTTCCAATCTTCACCGTCTCTTTTGCAACGTCGTTGTTACCTTGCGAGTAACGAGTATTTTTTTAAACGACGAGCAAGCACACTCGCAACAGTTTGAACTTGGATCCCCACTTCTGATAAAAATAATCTCGCTATCATTGAAGTAAAGTCCTCGCGCATTGAGATGAGACCAAGTGGATTATACGTTATCTTCCTTTGGTGGTCGAAGCAAGTATCAGTTTAAAGTATCGGTAATTCTTTGTGTCCTTTGTGCGCGAAGGGAGATGGTGATGGCATCACCCGATAAAACGAAAGTTGCGTAATATCGACGTTATCGACGTTTTCCATCGACGAATATTACATTATTATAGAAATATGCGTGCGTTCGTGTTGTTTTGCGTGATATTGCATCGCGAATTGAACGGCGTTGCTTGTTAGCGAGCGGCGGTCGGTGAAGCTGGTCGGCGCATCCTGCAAACCTACAGTCGGCAACCGGCAAAGGAGCTCGCTCCGCCCGTCCGATACTATCTAACGACGATAATGGGATAACGAGAGTCACGATAATTAACCGAGAACGGTGGTACTCGTTAAACCAATCGTGCCTGTCAATTATTAGCTCGACAGGAGACGTTCGTCTTTTTAGTCTTTGCCTCTCCTTCTGATTCTCCCGGTTTTCCCGGTTTTGCTGCTCGTTCCTCCTCGCACGGGGGATTACAGGCGAATTTAGTCACGGTCAGCAAACTGTCGGTGTTCGGCGAATTTATGACCCGTAGAAAATTACTCGGTGTTTCTTCGGCGAGAGTTATCGTTCCTCTGTTAACGTTTCGTGAAACATGCCGCTACTTTCCTTATCGCTGGTCTTAATTCCTCTTCCTCTTCTTCTTCTTCTTCTTCTTCTTCTTCTTCTTCTTCTTCTTCTTCTTCTCTTCCTTTTTGCAACTTGCGCAATTTACGAAATTATCTGCCGAAAGGAAATTCCCAGGCTCAACTATTCACGCTCAAGCGAATAACCCTTTGGAGGCCATAATACAGATTTGATATAAAAATTTGGAAGAATTATAAAAATACATAATAGCGACAAATAAACGGGGAACGTTGAATTTACCTTGAAATAAATGGAACACTGAAGACAAATCGGTTTCGAAACGGTCGGACGTAGAATTTCAAGTGTACACTGCTTTCCTTTTAGAATCACTCTCGGTTTTACTCCAATTTTTCGTCCTTTGATCGACCGGTAATTCGTTCTCCCATCGGAACACTTCGAAATTGACCCGATTATGTCAACCTTCGATGCAAACGTTATTTACGTAATCGATGGCGACTGCGTGTATTTTTATAATCGACGTGCTTCGTAAGCCAACACCGACGTATTAGTTTCAACGAGGAATATTGCGTTTCCCTGACGTGCGCGCGTGTCTCGATCCCTCGATCGGTCGCCAGTCAGTCTCTTTCTTCGCGTCGTCGATCGATTTTCGGCGACAAATATCGACACATTGATCAATGAGGTAGATCGCTTTTCTGCTATCGATGCATCACGCGTAATTATAGATAAATCTTGTTATTTTATATTTTTCTCTTGTGTCTTTGCATCGTAACTTTCACGCGCATAACGTTTACCGTTGGAAAGATGAAAAGAGAGAGAGAGAGAGAGAGAGAGAGA